TAAGGAGGGCACTTGATGTAATGAGCACTGGGTGTTGTATGCAACTGACGAAATCACTGAATTCTACCTTTGAAACTAATATACAGTGTATGTTAATTAAATTGAATTTAAATAAAAATTTTTAAAAATAATTAAAGATCAAAATTACAGGGGAAAAAGAAGAAAATCAGGTGTCATGTCTTTGGGGTTATGCAGCTAACAGACCTAGTTTGTTTGAATTTTGTTATGTGTTTTAAAAGGTAATGTACTACTAGGCATTGTTGAAAGAAATTAAGGAAGATCTAAGTAAATGAGAAGACATCTCATGTTCATGGATCAGGTTTAAGTTTTTAAGTTGTCAATTCTCCCCAAATTGATCTAAAAATTCAATGCAATCTCAATCAAAATCCCATCTTTCTTTATTGCAGAAATTAATAAACTGATCCTAAAATTCATATGGAAATGCAAGGGACCCAGAATAGCCAAAACAATTTTGAAAAAAGAACAAAAATGAAGGACTCACTCTTCTTAATTCCAAACTTACTACAAAGCTGCAGAAATCAAGGCAATGTAGAATTAGCATTAGGATAGACATAAAGATCAATGGAATAGAATGAGTCCAGAACTAGAATTGTCATACTGATGGTCAACTGATTTTCATCAAAGGTGCCAAGAAATGGTGCTGGGACGATTCAATATCCACATGCCAAAGAAAGAAGCTAGACTTCCACTTCACATGACACACAAAAATTAACACAAAGTGGATTATAGGCCTAAATTTAAGAGCTAAAACTACAAATCTCTTAGAAGAAAACATAAGAGCAAATCTTCATGACTGCGGGTTAGGCGATGGTTTCCTAGACATGATACCAAAAGCACAAGCAAAAAAGAAAAATAAATAAATTGGGCTGTGTAGAAATTTAAAATTTTATGCTACAAAAAATACTATCAAAAAAGTAAAAAGTCAACCCACAGAATAGGAGAATATATTACAAATTTTATATATATATGCAGGGGTGCCTGCATAATTCATATACCATAAAATTCAGCCATTTAAGGTATACAATTAGATGGTTTTGAGTATATTCACAGAATTGTGCAAATATCATCACAATCTAACTTCAGATTTCATCACCCAAAAAGAAAACTATACCCATAAGCAGGGGTGCCTGCCGGCGTGGCTCAGTTGGTTAAATGTCTGCCTTGGGCTCAGGTCATGATCCCAGGGTCCTCAGGCTCCCTGCTCAGCAGGAAGTCTGCGTCTCCCTCTCCCTTTGCCCCTCCCCCTACTCGTGCTCTCTCTCTCTCTCTCTCAAATAAATAAAATCTTTAAAAATTTTTTAAAAAATAAATAAAATCATAAATCATATAATATATATCTGATAAGGGCTTGTATACAGAATATATAAAGAACTCTTACAACTCAATAATAAAAAACCAACTCAATTTAAAAGTGGGTAAAGTGTTTTAATAGTCATTTCTCCAAAGAAGATATGCAAATGGACAATAAGCGCATGAAAAAATGCTCAACATCACAAGTCATTAGGGAAATACGAATCAAATCCACAATGAGATGTGACTCCAAACCCATTAGGATAGCTATAATAAAAGACAACAACATTGGCTAAGAAATTCTCATACTAGTGGGAATGCAAAATGGGGCAGACACTTTGGAAAACAATCTAGCCATCTTAAAATGTTAAACATAGAGTTACCATATGATCCAGCAATTCTATGGTTGGTATATATCCAGGAGGAGATCGATCGATCTATCTATCTATCTATCTATCTATCTATCTATCTATCTATCTATCTATCTATTTAAAAAAATATATACATGTGTGTCAAGCAAAAACTTGGACACAAATGTTCATAGCAGCATTATTCGCAATAGCTAAAAAGTGGAAACTACCCAAATATTCATCCACATGTTTATTCATGAAATGGTAACTAAAATGTCATATATCCATATAATGAAATATTATTTGGCAATAAAAAGGAATGAAACACCAATACATGCCCTAACATGGAAGAACCATGAAAACATTATGATAGTAAATGAAAGAAGCCAGTTACAAAAGACTACATATAGGCAAATCTTTCTAGACAAATCCATAGAGACAGAAAGATTAGTAGTTGCTGAGGGATGAGGGAAAGAGAAACTGAGGAGGACTGCTTATGGGTATAGTTTTCTTTTTGTGTGATGAAATGTTCTAAAGTTAGATTGTGATGATATTTGCACAATTCTGTGAATATCCTCAAAACCATCTAATTGTATACTTTAAATGGCTGAATTTTATGATATGTGAATTATATCGTAATAAAGTTGTTGTTGCTTTTTTTAAGTCATTGTAACTAGTCAATAGGCCCTTACAACTTAGGGGAGTTGGAGACTCCAGCTTTCAAGTGAAGTATGAACAACTTTGGGCCTCCAAGGATAATATTTCTTGAATAAGCTTTCACTTGGAATTAGACAGGGATGTGATTGCTGGCAACAATTCCAGGTACAGATTCTGTGTGTTACCAATTAAGGGCAAAATTTTATGTAGTTAGTTAACAAGTTAGTTACTGTGTCTGGGCAGATGTGGTATATCTATTTCATGGACTGTCTGTGGGAACTGTTTGTCTTAGGCCAGCAGGTTGCCCTCTGCTCTGGAATATATTTCTAGGTCAGTGGCTCCCACCATCAATTAGTGTGTGTGCTCAAGGGAATGCAAACTGATTTCAGCATTATCTTAAACAAAACATAATTGGGAAGGTAAGGATCCTGCCAAAAAATTACATCATGCATTCCAAAGCCAACTAAAAATGAATTTTGGACCAACCACGCTAAATATACACATTTAGCATAGGTTTAAATGGTTAATAGTTAATGATAATACTAAGTTGGTAGTACCCATGTAGCTTTTCTTTTTAAACTTATTTAAATCTTCCTTTTAGGATTTAGAAATTCTGCTACACAGATTTCACAGGAAAAAAGTTAATAAATTAAATTCTCAAACATTTGTCCTATTACAACATTGTATGTCTTTCCACTACATCTAAATCCTTACAATCCAGAATGTTCAATCACCTTGCTATGCAAAATTGGTCTGCCACCTGGACATTGCCAGGGAGATCCATTCCAAACTACTGAGTCAGAATCTGCATTTTAACAAGATCCCCAATCTGTGTGCACATTAAAGTTTGAGAGGCCTTGCTCTCATACCTAACCAAAACTCAGTGTAAAACAGCCTCAGGAAAACTGGGCAGTGCGTCACTATTAGTAATCTCAATTGAGACAACGTTGTAGCAACCTCAAAATGTCCCTTTTTGATTAAGGTGGTAAAAGCTATCAATGTTCTCTTATAGCTATCAATGTGCACGAAACACAGGAAAGAAGGCTGTGGTGACCACTCTTACTTAATCATCCTGGAGGATGGAGCAGAGAGGAGCTTGTTCCTAAGGAAATTTTCCCTACTGTTCTAGTTGTCCCCAGATCTTCCTCCTGGCTTTGACCTTTTGAGTCCAGCATCACCCTTTGTGAAAACCCAGCCTGGACGGACACTTTGCTCTGAAGCAACAGGTGGTAATAAAACCATCAAGGGCAGGAGGGTTCCTGAGTGAAAGAAACTTTACTCATTCAGGTCCACTTATCAGTATGGAAAGAAGCAATTTAGACCTGGAGCACCACTGTTTTCCCTTTCCCAAGGAGGTACAATTCAAGCACAGCCTTCATTTTCCTTAAAGAGTGTCAACTCTTCTAACCCCACAGGGTTCAAATACATGAAAACCCCTCCATTGTACCTTTGCTCTGACATTTCCACTTCCTACATAGGAAGGTTATAAAGCCAAGTAACCAGGAAGTCTTCCCAAGTGAATGGGTGGTCTCCATGCCAAGATGGGATTGGGGGGAAGGGGAAGGGATCGAGAGAGTTTTCTGGAGAATGATAATTAAGTTGCTGATTCTTGGGTTCCACCCTTAAGATTCTGATTCAGGAGGTCTGGACTCAGGACCAAAAGTTAACATTTTAACAAGTGCCTTAAGCAATTCTAAAGTAGGCAGTCCAGGTCTACACTTGAGGAAACTGAGATAATGGGCTTGGGTTTAAGAATAGCAATACCACCTTTGCAATAAAACACTTATTCTTATGCATCTATTTCATTTTTTGAACTGATGTTGTCAATTTCCTATTTGGTTTCCATTCAGCATTTACTGAGCAACTGTTGTTCGCAGAGAATTGTACTACCTGTTCCTTTCCTGGTATGTTTGGGCTGGGTGGAGGGGATGGGGAGAGGAGAAGGGTGTGATCACAAGAGAGAACTATTTCTCAACTTCCCAGCAAAATGACAAATTCACTTTTTCATGATTTGTGAAACAGATTAACCCAAACAACTATATTACCCAACCACAGTTACCATAATTTGCTAACCTTTTTAGGGCACCAACGTACCAGGGATGCCATGGCCTTACGGGTAGGAAGGTCAGTTCTGTAAACCAAACTGCCTACCTTCTCCACTTGATGATATGACCACAGGCAAGTAATTTAACCTTTCTGTAACTCAGTTTCTTCATCTGTAAAATGAGGCTATAACACCTACTTCATGGAGTTGGTATAAGGAGTAAATGAAACCCTATCTCACGGATGCAGAGGGTTCCAAGAATCTAGATAATATAGCGAAGATTTGTCAGTCAAAGCCACAAGACCATTGTGAGAATACTAAAAACTGTTTCCAGAGGCTGATTTGTAATTCCAGGTGCAAGGAGTGAAATTTAAACTTTGTTTATTTCAAACAGTTCAAGTGAATTACCGTCACTAAAACGATCTGGGGTTTTGTTTTTTAGGGTTCTCTAACCCTTGGCCCCTTCAGGAGTTTGTCCTGCTGGTGCCACGCTCTGCCCCCAAAGTTCCGTTCCAAATCCCCGGTTTGGGGGGATGCGGAAGCGCGAGGCCCCGGGCAGGCGCCCCTCGGCAGCTGGACCCGAGCCCAGCCTCGCGGGCGGAGGGCTTGGGACAGACCCGGCGCGGCCGCCCCGCCGCCGCTCAGCGGGGAGGATGCCGGCGGGCGCCGAGAGCGTGCGCGGCCACGTGACGGCCGCTATAAGAGCGCTCCGGGCCCACGCTCCGCTCCCGCCGCGCCTCCTCCCGGGACGCGCTCCTTCCCGGCGCCCGGCTTCTCCCAGCCCCAACCTGCGGCAGCGGCGGCCGCCCGCCCCTCCCGGCAGCAGCATGACAGGTACGCGCCGGCCCCCCCGCCCCGGACCTCCGGCTCCGCGCCCCGCGCTGCCTCCCCGCGCCTCCTCCCGCCCCGCAGCCCCGGGGGAGTTCCTGGCAGGACGGAGACCGCCGCAAAGTTACGGGCTGGCTGCAGTCGGGCGTGCAGCTTCCTGCGTCAGCCGCTGCCCCGCCGCCCCCGAGGCCGGAGCTGCGGCCGGGAACCCGGGACGCTGTCGTGGGGGGCAGCCTGGCGGCACCTGGGCCCTCTGCCCAACCCCCGTTCCTGCTTCCGTCTCCGTGCCCTTCCTCCTGCTCTCACCGTGAAGGGCGGGCGGAGCGGCTGCGGCGGGGCCGGGTGGGGGTGGGGAGCCGGCCCCCGGGGGCGCCTGTCCCGAGCCCTGGGGCGCGGCGGGATCGCTCGGCGGCCGCCCCCGCCCCCCGCAAGCAGGATCGCCGGGAAGGGCCGGCCTCGAGGTGGGGACGCCGGCGGCCCCGGCCCGGCCCCTTTACCGGCCGCCGGGGCGCTGGCCGCCACGCCGAGCCTATTTTTAGGCCTTTGGGGCCGGGTTGCTGAAAGCCAGAGCCGGGCGAGCGCCCCAGGGGAGCGGGCCGCATGCGGTGGGCGTGCGCCGGCCCACTTGTTGCAGGGGTCGAATCTGCCCCGAGAAGGGGCAGCTCGGAGATACCTGGTCCTTCCGAGGTTGTTGAGGCTGATAGCGCGGTTATGAGAGCAACTGAACTGCCGAAAGATTGCAGATGCACCCGGAGTTGCTGTATTTTACCCAGCTGTCATTGGTCTTTCCCGTTCTTTTGTAATGTTTGCTGGGTGTTCCAGCGTATGTTCCTAAGCATCTGTCCTGTCCCCTACTTCCATCTCGGATAGCATCCATAACCTTGCTTCCTGAAATCCTTGAGTCCTGTTTATCTTGTTAAACTTTTATCCAGGTTCCCCTTGAGTTAAAACATTAGTCCTTATCCCCCAGATTAAATACTCTTGGGGCAGACTGTCTGAAATGTTGCCATCTTGTGATGGGTTGAAGAAACAAGTAAAGGCAGAGATTGATGGGCATGTCAAATGACAGGTGTCATTGTTCTGAGCTTTCCTAGATTGTGACTAGCTGGGAAGCCGGTGGCCCTTGAAGGGTGGGGAACACCAGTGTTTCTACAGCTTAATAGCGATCCTGTTCAGGAAGAGGGTCCAGCACATGCAGTAGCCTCCCTGACAGCCTACAACTTTCTCTGGCTTCTCAATGGAATTCACTCTGCCTCCAGCCTCCACATCGGAAAACAGGCAAAGGGAAAATGAGAAAGAGCGTGACTTCATGACAAAATGTCCCAGCTCCTTGGTTGGGCAACAGTGCCCCCAAGTGACCCCTGCCAGTGTTTGATCCTAAGTATCTTGTACATTTGGATGCCCACTGCCTTGCTAAAATCCCCTCAGAGATAGAGTGGACCTCAGACTCGTTCCGGGGAAGAACTGGAGAAATCCTAAAGGCAGGGCTGGTGGTCTTGGGAGGGTGGGGCTTGTTCAGTAGGAAGAATAATCCATGTGTTTGCCTTCCCTTCTGGCAACGGAGGGATTATTGAGTGTGTGTGTGTGTGTGTGTGTGTGTGTGTTGGGGGACCCAGGGTACAGGGTAGGGGATGCTGCTTGCTTCTCCAAGAAAAAGGAGGCGGGTTTGTTAGCACTTTTGAGGTGCTCCCTAAGATCCGATTAACACTGATTGGCTGCTGTTTAGATAGAAGCAGTAAGGAGGGAAGGCCTGTCCATGGAGGTGATATTTGAGCAGACACTCCAAGTGACTGTTGAGATGTGGTGGGTGGTGTGGGTGCCTTTGCTGCAGGTTGAGGAAACAATATAGGAAGCCTGAGGCTTGGCAGAAGCCTAAGCATCAGAATGAAGAATATGGCCTCAGCTTTCAGATGCTCTCCGTTGAGGTCATTCGTTGGATTTGTGCTTGCCTGAAAATACTTGTAGGAAACAAAAAATGTACTTCTTGAGTTCATTACCACCTGTTAATTACCTGAGGTTCACCTTCTGGTGTTAAGCTGCTATTTAATCTGAGAATTTTGCGTGTTCAGACTCTAAATTGGATTTAATTTTTTTTTTAATTTTTTATTGTTATGTTAATCCCCATACATTACATCATTAGTTTTAGATGTAGTGTTCCATGATTCATTGTTTGTGCATAACACCCAGTGCTCCATGCAGAACGTGCCCTCCTCAATACCCATCACCAGGCTAACCCATCCTCCCACCTCCCTCCCCTCTAGAACCCTCAGTTTGTTTTTCAGAGTCCATTGTCTCTCATGGTTCGTCTACCCCTCCGATTTCCCCCCCTTCATTCTTCCCCTCCTGCTACCTTCTTCTTTTTTTTTTTCTTAACATATATTGCATTATTTGTTTCAGAGGTACAGATCTGAGATTCAAAAGTCTTGCACAATTCACAGCGCTTACCAGAGCACATACCCTCCCCAGTGTCTATCACCCAGTCACCCCATCCCTTCCACGCCACCCTCCACTCCAGAAACACTCAGTTTGTTGCTGAGATTAAGAATTCCTCATATCAGTGAGGCCATATGATACATGTCTTTCTCTGTTTGACTTATTTCGCTCAGCATAATACCCTCCAGTTCCATCCACGTCATTGCAAATGTCAAGATCTCATTCCTTTTGATGGCTGCATAATATTCCATTGTGTATATATATACCACATCTTCTTTATCCATTCATCTGTCGATGGACATCTTGGCTCTTTCCACAGTTTGGCTATTGTGGACATTGCTGCTATAAACAGACACCTGGCAGGCCAGAAAGGACTGGCAGGATATATTCAGAGCACTAAATGAGAAAAATACGCAGCCAAGAATACTATATCCAGCTAGGCTATCATTGAAAATTGAAGGAGAGATAAAAAGCTTCCAGGACAAACAAAAACTAAAGGAATTTGCAAACACAAAACCAGCCCTATAAGAAATCTTGAAAGGGGTCCTCTAAGCAAAGAGAGAGCCTAAATTGGATTTAATTTTTAAAGCTTAATCAGCCTGTTGGAGATTGCCAGAGATGTTTCTGCTAAAGAATGGTCTTGAATCATTCTTAAAGTGGGCACTTGGGTTCTTGCCCCACTCCCAAAGAGGCTGCTCCTTTATTAATAGAGCAAGTTGATCTCAGAGGAGCTGTTTTTGCCAAATTAGTGGTTGAAAAGGGTCCTGAGGTAGCTTTTTTCCGGGTAGGATATTGTAATGAGTGTGGTTTTTTTTCTTTCTCTTTGTATTAAGATCAGGCCTTCGTGACACTGACCACAAACGATGCCTACGCCAAAGGAGCTCTGGTCCTGGGCTCGTCTCTGAAACAGCACAGGACCACCAGGAAGCTGGCCGTGCTTGCCACTCCACAGGTCTCAGACTCCATGAGGTGAGGACCTCCTGCCTGTCTGTTGGTGGGCTCTGACATCTTTATCCCATTTCTGGTATCACTGGGTGTTGAGGCCATCCCCTTTCCAGGGGTTGAGCACTAGGTGGAGAAAGATTAGAATTGCTGGATGAAGGATTTCTGGATCAACCTCTTCTAGCTCTTAGGAGCTATTCCAGCTGAGCTCCCTTCTGGAAGGTGCTGTTCTGACCCATGCTCTTATTGGTTCCAGCTGTGAGAAGGACTCTCCTGTAAGCAGGTCCTCTAGGATGACCTGAGTGAATGTTTTAGTCCAGGCATTCATTTTATGTGGTCACACTTCACTTGTATTCCTTTCCCAAAATGCAGCAGGGGCTACTTTTTTTCCTGTTTCCAACCAGGGAAACTTCAGGTGACTGAAAGTAAGTAGCAGTTTTCTCCACTGTCAGTTGGCACTTGTAACCTAAAGTTCTTTATTTATCATTTAATAGGCTAGAATATTTGCCAGGGCTTTCTGAACTAGGGATTGTGTAAGAGAGCACCCCGGGGTAGAGATGGGGCGGGGGGGACACACACTGCTTGTTGATTGTGTTAGTTCACTTTGATTTGTTGGTATTAAACTTGGAAGTATTTGACTGAACCACCTAGATCCTAATACTACAAAAATATCTGGGCACATTAGCAGCTCTGTATGGTGTTTATTTTTGTTTTCTATCCATCTTAGAAATTGAAAGTGCCCTTTTTTGTGACTTTTTATAAGAAATATAAGCACATGCCAAGAACCTCTATATATAGCTAGATATTTCTCACATGCTAATAACCTTATTTATAAAGGGTAATTTAGGAAAATGCTAAAAAGACTTTCCTAATGTGTACATCCTAATTTGTAGTCTGTTTAGTGAGGATGTGTGCAAGAAAACAGATGTAGTCTTAGATCCCCTTTTACTGTGGTAAATGACTCCAGTGACCATTTATTTTCAAAAAGATCATATTTACTGTGTGAATTGGAACATCTTTTTCTACAGCTTGGGGACAGATAATACAATGCCAGTTTTGTTCTGCGTGTTTCATTTTGTTATAAACTTTCAATGATGATGTCTTTATCACATGCTGTGCTGAGCTTAGTGTTTTACCTAAGTATACCCCCACTTAACCCACCTCAAGATTGCTTTCTAAAATAAATCTTGACTTAATTTTGGGCCTGGAGAAGTGTTGCACCTCACAAACCAAAGTGAATCATCATGTCAGAAGTGCTAAGCATACTGTAAGTGTTGGTTATATTCGATTCTAAAAATTGGCAACCAAATAACTGAGTCTTTGAACATCCTTTGGGATGCATAGCTCTATGTAAACTGCTTTATCAAAAATGATTAGTTATAGGCTTCGTTGCAGGTATTATATGCACTTAGCATCATTTGTAAAAACATGCAGTAATCAGCAAGGCTCAGTTCTAATGAAATATCATTGTTAAATACATAGGTTGTTGTAAAGATGTGCTCTTTCAAAATGGGAGTCACATTTTGACAGGTGGTTTCTGTAATTTGCCTGGTATCCAGTGATAAAATAAATAAAAATAGAAGAGTTCTGCTATAATAATGTTTAGTACAAGTATTTCATCCTCACCAAAGCAATTTTTATTAGTGAAGTTAGCTGCACATACAAATTGATACAGTTTGGCCTGAAGTAAATTAAGACCACCTATTTAAGAGATTGTACTGTATCAAAGTAACAGATTGCTCTAGTAATTGGTGGGTAGACTAATAAGAATACAATTTTATATTAGATGGGTTACTTGTTACTTATCTGAAAAGACACTAAATGCTGTTTTCTGGATTTTATTTTGGCAGAAAAGTTTTAGAGACAGTCTTTGATGAAGTCATCACAGTAGACGTCTTGGACAGTGGTGATTCTGCGCACCTAACCTTAATGAAAAGGCCTGAGTTGGGTGTCACACTAACTAAACTCCATTGCTGGTCACTTACACAGTATTCAAAATGTGTGTTCATGGATGCAGATACTCTGGTGAGTGTGGCTTTGATGACTGGAAAGATGTAGATAGTAACTGAGGCCAGTTAGGCATTTGAGGAATGCTCTCAAGACTTGACGGTACAGTTCAGATAAAACCACTTATTGAAAGCATCAGGTGATGAAGGAGAGTAAGCCCAGGCTACTTTACAGCTGTCATCTGAATGGTTAAGATCAGCAGCAGACTGCATCGTTGGTGTGGGATAACTTAGAACCTAGGAGGAGTATGCTGGGGCAGAACATTTTTGTAATGCTTTCCCTCCCACCTACCTCCCCCCCTTTAAATTAGGTCCTAGCAAATATTGATGATCTTTTTGAGAGAGAAGAATTGTCGGCGGCACCAGACCCAGGGTGGCCTGACTGCTTCAATTCTGGAGTCTTTGTTTATCAGCCTTCAGTTGAAACATACAATCAGCTGTTGCACCTTGCTTCTGAGCAAGGCAGTTTTGATGGTAGGTATCTGTTATCTTTATATTTGATAAGCTGTTAGTAACTTCCAGGGGCTGTTCTTCTCAGGGTTCTAGTTGCTTTCATTCCTTTTGCCTGGAGGACAGCAGTGCATGAGACGTACCAAACATTTTCATTTGTGCTCTTGTTGGAAAGACTGTTGTGTGTCTGTGTGTGCACATGCATTTTTCTTCTGTAGGTGCATAAGACTGAGCTAGGAGGCATTTTCATACACCTGCCTTTAACTGGCTTTCTTGTGTCTAAATTAGAGTATGATAAATGAGCCATGATTATTCAAGAATTCAAAAGACTATTATTAAACAAATCACAAACTTTAACAACTATCTTTAAATCTAAGTAAACTCAACTGCAAGAGCTAACAGGAGGACCAAGCATTGTTTCCATAGAAATTGGAGGAATAAACCTAATAATTTGGCTCTCATTCTCTTGGGAAGCATTTTAAAAAAAAAGATAGAAAATTAAATGATCAATCTCTGTCTCCAAATTCTCATTCCCTATAAGGCTGCACATCAGAGTGGCATTTGCAAGGCCAAAGAGTAGAAAATTGGCAAAGTGAGCATCCATTTTCCATAACGTAGAAGCATATCTGTAGCTACATGTATATATAGAAATGTTCTGACTATTCATGGATTTAGGGCCCCACATCCTTTGGAGAAATTTGATCAAATGAATTAGGAGGTATGTTTCCATTTCAGGTCAGTCTCTGAAACAATAAATAATCCGCTTTTTTTTTTTTTTTAACAACAAACTATCCCAAGACAGAACTAGTAGTTAATGTGCAAAAGCAGCTTTTTCTAAAATTAATGTTAATGGATCTTTTTTTTTTTTTTAAGATTTTATTTATTTATTTGACAGAGAGAGAGAGAGCGAGAGCAGGAACACAAGCAGGGGGAGTGGGAGAAGGAGAAGCAGGCTTCCCGCGGAGCAGGGAGCCCGATGTGAGGCTGGATCCCAGGACCCTGGGATCATGACCTGAGCCGAAGGCAGACACCCAATGACTGAGCCACCCAGGCGCCCAATGTTAATGGATCTTTTGAATAAAGAAGAAAGCCAGTTATATCAGAGAAGAAGGATCTTTTCTAAGAAGTGGCGCTCTCAGCAGGGACTTACTATCAGATACTTGACATTGTGGCAAAGAGCCCTGAGCTCTGAAGTAGATCCTCCGCACCAGGGGCTGCTTTCTTCCTCCTCTCCTCTCCAAGGGCAGATCTGAGATTGCAGGGAGTAGATCTTTTGAAACTAGCAGAAACGGCTTTCCTCAGTTGACATAGGTTTGGCCCTCGGTAAAGATATGAAGATTCATTTCCATTAACTAGTTATAAAGGTAAAAGTCATAACTTCAAATTTAAACGTTTTAAACAAAAAGATTAAAAGTTTGTCAGATTGCTGAAGTTAAAACATTTTCAGTTATACATAAAACTGAAATTGGATTTTTGTTGTTGCTACTCACAGAAAATAAACTCTGGTCATTTGACAAAGGATTTGGGATCTGCAACTACGGAAGTGTCATTGAAAAGAATAAGAAAGTTTAAGTCTCCTTCTTGTGTCACTAGTTGGCTAGTTTAAACTCTGTGCCAGGAGCTCTCAACATGAGGTTGATTTGGCTTCCTGGGGGACATTTGGAAACATCTGGAGACCTATTGGGTTGTCACAGTTGACCAGAAGGGTGCTACTGGCATCTAGAGGCTTGGGTTGCTGCCGAAAACATCCTACAGTGCACGGGGACAGCCCCACAGCAAGGGATTACCAGGCCCCAGTTGTCAGTGGTGCCAAGGTTGAGAAACTTTGCTCTATGCCAAGACCTTTTATGTTCTAAAACAGTAAGCAGGAATATCTGCACCATAATGAATGATGGCATCTGATAAGAAGTACAGAATTACTTTAAGTTGGAAATAACGTGTTGACTGTTCACTGTGGTCAGCACCAAATGCAACTTCTTCACTTCACTGACATTTTTTTTTAGCTCCATAGAAGAAATGAAAGATGTATTAGTATTTGCATTCAAAACACATATTCCTTATTTCTACTGCTTTTACTAAAACCATGACCTTTGCATAAAAGGAAGGTGAGAGTATTTTTAGCAGAAGTCCACTGTTTGTCTTAGCCTTCCCGTCAAAATATAGCTTTCTTCACCTCCTCCGATCATATTTGAAGGAAGTAATTGTAATCTGCCAGAAACTCAGTGTAAATTGTCAACTCCAGTAAACAAATTCACATTCTGAAATAGACCCAGCAACGTGAAATCCAAATTACTATAATAGCGTAAAGAGAATCAATCCAATTTCGAATCTAGAAGAGTACTAGATTTTGCTGTTGAGAGTTAAGAGTTGAGATACCAAATGGTAGTATGCCATGGCAAATTATCCAGGTTCCAATTTTAGAATATAAAACTAAATGATTAACTGGTAGAGACCGATCTGGATCATCTACCTTGTTTCAGAATTAAGAGGTACTAGAGGAGTTGATGAATTCATTGTTAAGAAGCCAGGATGTGTGAAAAGTGCCCAGCTAGAAAGCACTTTCTGCTTTTTTAGCCAGAATCTGAAACCACTGAGAGATTCTCTCTGTGCCTGGTAGCACATTTCATTATTCAGCAACAGGGTTTCCAGGAGCTGGTCTTTCTGTAAGGTGTTCCATTTAACTGGCTTGGTGGTGGTGAAGGATTGAATTTTCTGTTAATAGAAATGCTTAATTGAAGGAGTTGAAAATTCAGTTATGCAGATGGGAACTTATAGTTATTCTCAATATGTTGTTGAAATTCAACAGAATAGATTAGCAGCTCTTAAATGAAAGGTAGTTTTCCCTTTGTATTGATAAGCTTTACTTACCAAAGAAAGCTCACAATATACCGGGAGAGCCTGTTCCACTCAGGAGAAGTTTACTGTCCTGTTGAATTAATACCTGTGTGACATAAAGACTTACTGGACTGACACAACATTTCGTCGTGAGCTACATCTTTTTTTCTAATGGCAGTAGTAACCTTGCTTTACTTGAAGTTTTCAGTGCAGTGAGCAATTTTGTTTAGATGTCCTGTCATAGACACTGAGATATGAACATTTTGATGTTTCACATTTTCTACTATCCACAGATATTCGCCATCCCCCTTCATCCCCCAGTTTTCCTGAACAGGGAGCTTAGGTCCCAGTATTTTTAGATCGGTATTAAGGGAAACCCATTTGTAGATGATTGTATCTCAGTCTGAATATCTCACAAGTCCTGCTTAATCTCTTGCATACGTTCAACAAACACTATGGGGCCGGGTGTCCACTGACAAGCCACGCAGGCTGCTGGGGTTGAGTGTTTGCAGCCCTTCTGCTGCGGAGGAATGTGACTGGCATGCCTCTAATCACCAGCCCTCTAATTACTACTCCTCCCCATGCCTCTGGCCAAGAGAATAACCGTACCATGGCCAGTCATGCTGGGTACCTTGACTTCTCTCTTCCTTCCAAATATATCGAGTATTAGAATTTAGAGCTGGTGACTGTGCACCTCATTCGTGGCTGAATTCTAATGTTCCATAGCAAAGTGTCTAAGTTCCTATACTGTTGTTTGTGTTTGCAAACTGTCTTGGCACTTACTTCATAACTGAAGTTACATGTTTCCTGAAAGTTGAACAATAGCTGTTGTGAAATATCTGCACACTAACATTTTATAGGATGTGACAAGATCAGGTTAATTCGGGGTTTGTTAGCAGTGAGAGGAAGAGAGGTCATATTAGATACTGATCATCGGTTTTGTCTCCACGTATTCATGTGCAACAAAGGTGATGCACTTGGCCCTTGAGGAAATCTATCTGAAAGCAAGCTTAGGTTTACTTTCTTTTCCCCCTGTTACTCTAAAGTATCCTAAATTAAGGGTACAGTTGAGTTTAGTGCTTGGGAATTGCTGTATGTTAATTTTATCTATATGTGTTAGTTTCAAAAACCTAAGTCAAAAAGAGGAATTCATATTTTCCAGTTTGGAGTGTTTTTTTTAAGTATTTATCAGAGAGAGCACAAGCAGGGGGAGTGGCAGGCAGAGGGAGAGGGAGAAGCAGGTTCCCCGCTGAGCAGGGAGTCCTACATGGGGCTCGATCCCAGGACCCCAGGATCATGACCTGAGCTGAAGGCAGACGCTTAACCAACTCAGCCACCCAGGCGCCCCTGGAGTGTTGTTTTTGTTGTTGGGTTTTTATTTGTTTGTTTGTTTGTTTTTTAATTGGGGACTTACTTTACTGTAACCGAAATACCCTAAGCTACTTACTGGAGTAATGAAATTTTGGTCTATAGTTGAATTTTCAGAAAAAATAGGAGACAATAAATTGGTGAGCGAATATTAGGTATGATTTTACTTTAGGCAGAATCCAAGACCTGCTGTGAGATTCTTATACCTACGTGTTCCATATTCCAAGTGGTCACTGAGCCCCTTAAACTGTAAGATGTTTTTTCTGTGCTTGCAGATGTAGTAAACCAGGAGAGTATACGTTTTTAAAATGATTTTTAACAGAAAAGATTTGGCTTTAAATTCTTATAAAGTGTAAAATTGACCCCACGGCTACCTCCTTTAATCTTTGTAGTTGGTTAGGCTTCAGATTGGACCTGCCCAAAAAAGGAATGAAGGTGAGAGGTATTTCCAGCTAACACTTGTCTTGTCCAACCCACACCGGTCAGAAATCCCAGTGCGCCTCCCTGGGTTCGCGCGGACTTGGTGGCTTCTCCCTTGGCGGCTGCCTGTGGTGGGCTTGCCCCAGCTGCCCCAGTAGGAGGCTGCTCGCAGCCCGGAGAGCACTTCATCAGCTGCTTTGAAAATTACTCCGCTTTCTTGCATTTGTATCATGTAACTGATCGTTGGAGTAATAAGTATCTTGAATAAGTAAAAATGAAAAGCAAAAGTCATAACATATAACAGCAAGACAAATGAGCACCAGGTTTTTTCTCAAGAGCTATTTTTACCTCCTTATACCCATGAGTATTTCTTTTAAGCTAGCCATCTGTTTGCCTCTAGC